ATTAACATTATTTCAAATTAATCAAAGCCTCTTGGTTTATTCATACAAAAAAAAAAAAATAGAGTTAGTAGGTACTTAAGTTATGAATACAATGTAATTAAAAAAAGATTTTTTAACTGTTTTTCAACATTGAATTCAAATAAAAAGGTTTGAAATAGTTAAATAATATCTTCTATTCAAATATTATCTAATATTAGAACATACCATATTTCAAGTCACACCCCTAATAATTTTCCATCAATTTTGAAGTACATAATATTTATTATGAAATTTTTATACATAAATATTACTCACTTTTTAGGTACTGTATTGCGATCAGTGACCAAAGCACTAATCAAACAACTCTCTTTAGACTCTTCATCAGACCAAAATACATACATTGGAGAACCTAGATCATCATACAGTTTAGGATTGTCCCACAGAGTTGTTATTAATACATTCGATGAATCACAAGCTGACCAAATATCATGAAAATCATTGACATCTCGATCGCCTAGTATGCAATTTGCATTTAGACATAAACCAGAAATATGTGATGGTACTGCTATTCTTTCAAATACCCAGACCTTTGAAATAAAATGTAATAAAATGAAGATTATATTAAAACTGAATAACTACTAAGTTAATTAAAATTGTTTACTAGATTCCAATATATTATAGGATGTTCATCAGCAAACTTGGAGTGTATTAATGAAACGTCACCTTCAGCCACAAGAATAGACTCTAGTTCTTTGCGCAAGACAAGTGGATTTAAATAAGGAACTGTTATTGTGTCAGCTTTATACCCATCACTTATTGTTTCTGTAAATAAATAATTTCCAAATAAAAAATATTAAATTGAGAAAATAATTAATTACTTTGTTAGTTATGAAATAAACTAATTCAAATTACAAAATCATTTATCACTATCACAATTATTCAAATAAACAAATACAAAAATACCTCTTGCATTGTTTTCTGTTAGTAAATCTACATTTTCTCGATTATGCATAATATTTTCGTCTGTTAAATTGCTATTTTTTGATCGATAGTCAATGACATCAATAGTTAAAAACGGTACTACTTCCTTATGACATAGCCTGCATCTGTTGTAAAATGTATAAATAAAAATCTTAAGCATTTTTAATACAACTAAGAGTTGGTTAGATTATTACTTTGTATTCAAATTAGAATCATCTGGAACCCAACCAGACATTATTTMTTCATCAAACATTAAACATCCACAGTTGTGACATTTTGAACATGTGGTCATAACAATTTCTAAGGCAACCAATTCAGGCGTATGACTAGAGCGCTTATAAAGTTTTTCTTGGAATAAACTTAATTGTGATGAATCTATTGTTGCACAACCTAATTCAATATAAATCATGTATGCATATAATAATATTATACATTATACAGTGAGTAATTTAGGTAATTATTATGTTTTTGAAATGAAATATGTTTATACCAGAATTCATATTTGTAGAACTACTTTTCCTGTTGCCATCAGTAAAAAGATCAATTAAATTAGAACTCCAAGAATCTAAGTGTTGAGCAACAGCAAGGGAGGATATCTCACTAGATATTTTACGTCTAACACTTGGCTCATTTGATTGTTGATCATTGTCATCTCCATTCCAATTGTCTTCTTCCCTTTGACATCTAAATATTTAAAAGAAAATAAATGGAATTAGAACAGTCTAATTAAATAATCAAGAGTATTGATAGAAAGTTACACCCGTATGTACTACCTTCATCTAACAAATATTCAAAATAGAAAGAATCAAAGAACTGTTTTGCGTAGGACAAATATACTCGGTCTGTATTTATTTTAGTATTAACAAAATTCTACAATGCATATGGAAGAACTTTAACTGCGTTGAAGCATTTTTATATTTTTTTTAACACTAACCAATACATTTTAATAATTATTTGAAAAAAACCTAATGATCTCAAACTGGAACTTTAAATGTATTTATATTGTTTAAACAATAAAAACGCCATGACACAGATACAATTCTGCCTATATATTGTCGAATTTTGGTAATTTTACAGTAAATACAGAGGGAGTATAGTTGTTCTGTGTAAAACAGCTTGCATTACTATTAATATTGTTATAAAAAGTCTGTTTGAATATAGATACATTGTTAGTATTATATTAAGGTTAATTCATTAATTTTTTTTAAAAAAGTTATACTAAACTGAACATAGTCTTTTATGGGGGTATTATTTGTAGATATTGCTTCTTTGATTTCATCAAATTTTTTCACCATTGTATTAGCTGCACTTTTTAAACTAGTCAATCCGCCCATTAAAAGCTCATTTGATTTTTTTCCAGAAAAACTTGATGAACTGTAAACATAACAAGTCATTTCAAATTGTTTGCATACTTGGTTAAGTAAAGTAATTTCCWAGTGTAATAAAATAAGTATAAGATAATTCAAAAAATATTAATATTACATAGCCACTTGTTCTGATAAAACAATTCTACCATTATAAAAATATGAATGATATACTGTAAATTTTAAAAGATATATTATATAATGCGTATTTTGGGTTTGTGTAAATTATCTACAAAATATGAGTCATAATTCATAACCAATCTATAGTTAAATATTGATGTCAAATGATACTTTACCTGAGATTAGTGAATGCATTTTCAATAATGTTGGTACCCATACGGAAGTCGGACTTACGCGGTAACGAAAATTTAGTTGGAGTATACTGACTGTAAATGTAAACAACAACTAATACTACTTCACAAAAAAAAATCTACAAACTATGAATAAAAATAAAATAATATAGAATATTTGTCTATCTACTAATTTCTAATTAATAAATAAAATTCTATGTTAATAAAAACAAAAAATAAATTAAAGGAAAATGTATACATGCTTAACATTAATATATTAGCTTCAACTTCTGAATTGTTGTATTGTTTTGTGTCTGAAGAGATTTTCAAATTAAAATGTTTTCGATCAACATTGTCTTAATATGATGATTTAGTTAATTCACTTAGTTGTACAATAGTACAATTTTAAATATTTAATTTAAAAAAATCAAATAAGAATAAATATATTACACAAACATTATATAATATGTACATTATACATACATAATATATGTATTATGTATAAATTATTATTTTATAATTAGTTTATTAATATATATGTATATTATATTTATCTTGCAAATTAAGTAATTCAGTATTTTTTTACTTACGAAAACGGTATTTTAAATGCAGATCCTAAAGCAGACTTGATTGGACTTTGTTGGTAATCTTGCTCGTTAGCACTATGAGCTGGCATAGTAGAAGATCTTTGTATATGTTTTTCGACCTTACCTACATCTTCACTGTATGTAGCACTACGATGCATATTACTCCACTCACGAAATAATACAGGCGAGCCACTACGGTCTAGCTCAATACCAGACCTTACTCTTGGAACTGTAACTGATATATTGGGAACAGGTTCTGATTGTTCTTGAAATGCCCCCAAAGGATCATTTTCAAATACTGGTGTTCGCTGTGCTGGTTCAGCAAAACGATTAGGAGTACTTTCTTCATTTAGATTTTCTAATGAAGACTCAAAAGATTTCAAACCATCAAACACAAGCTTTTTAGATATGCCATTTGACTTTTTAAAATCTGTTTGGTATTTTAGATCATTAAGATTTTTCAGAATCTGAGCATCATTACCAAAACTTTTTGAACTAAAAAAAAATATAAACAATATATATTAATAAAAACAAGATTTATTCACCAACTATATCTACTGACTAAATTTAGATGTGAACAAACAGTGTTGAATTATTAATTACCGTTTTAATAATTTCAGTAATTCAGAAGATTTGTCATTGGATGAATTGTGAAGTGTATGATGATAATGATGATGTCTTCTTGGTGAAATTTGAAGACGTATTTCATCTGTTAGAGACCCACTACGGCCTCTGAAAAAAAATATCAAACTATTTTGCTTCTCTAATTAAGCAACTGACAGTGGAGTTTTAAATATATACACACATAAATTGTTGTTTTATATAATATTTGTTAAATCGTAAATATTTTAAATTCTGAATTATTAAGAAATAGATTAAGCATGAATACAAAAAATAAAAATAAAATAAATATATTCTATGAATTAAAAAAAAAAAATTAATAAAATCAAGTCTTAACTTTTTAATATGTACAAAAAACCCTACAATTTACTTAAAACCAGACTACCAATGTTTATAAATAATAACCAACTCTCAAAAATCTACTGTAAAATACTAATATAAATATATACACATATAAATAAAAGATTACCTGATTATTCGCTCTTTAATATAATCAAAAATACTGCTGATAATGAATAAAAAAATATTAAAAAATAATATGTAAATACCTTTTTAAATCAGATTCACTTTCGATAGATATTGAATCACTATTTTGTTTCGAACAAGCTGAACTTGGTCTTGAACAAGTAGTAGTCATCAAGAGGCCAGCACTACTTTCAACTAAAAAATACATTTATTTAAAAATAGTTATGTTTTTAAATATACATTAAATTTTATGTTTTAATCATGTWAATTAGTTAATTTAAGGGATGGGTTCTTGAATTTTCAAACTCTAATACACTTTTAACTTTAAGAACTTTAAACTTGAACAGTAGAAAATAATCAAGTTTTATACCAATACTAAAATAGTATCATTGTATTATTATTAAATTKTGAACCAAGAATGTTAATAATTACTACTAAAACTTTTTAAGAGTTTATACTGGATATATTTTTGTTTAACAATAAAATTCAAATTCAAAGTTCAAAAGTTTGAGTAAATATGGATTCCAGTTTGAGTTTAAGCTTGTGAAAATTCAAGTTTTTCTMTTGCCTAATTAATACTTACATTGTTGTGAACTCCATGATTGTTCATCTTCTGTAGATAAGGATATCTGTTTGACAATATTTGTAGGACGACTTCTTAATCCGAAATTGGATTCAACATTTATGGATAATTTTCTAGGTGCTGAAAAAAATTAATTAAAGTTTAACTTTAAATCAAAGTAATAATTCATGCATTACAACATTTTTCATAATGCATTAAAATGTTTGTTTTTTTTTGTATATTTAAATAATATTTAATACATAATAAAGGTGATCATTCGGTGGCGTAACTATTGGGGGGTGATGTATATGATATTCAAAACTAACTCCTGAAGAATCTGATGCATTAAATAAGCTAATGGAATTTAATTCACCAGAAATTGACAAGAAAGTGGCAATAACAGAGTTAAAAATGTCATTAAATAGTTTTAAATTTAAGGAATCTATGGATGCGATTTTAGTCTGCAAATGGAATTATATCCAAATATTGATTTTTTTTTTTAAATATTGCGTACACTTCCTTTATTGACAGCTACTCAGGAACGTTTATGTTCTAGTCTAAAACATATGAAAACTTACTTACATAATAGGATGTCAGAAGTATGTACTCTCTAATTTTTAACTCAATTTTAATTGTCTACCAATTTACCAGAAAGTAAAGATTTTTTTCTGGCAAGACTTAATGGGTTAGTTGCTATATCCATAAACAGGCAAATTAATTTACAAGTTGATTTAATAATTGACTAGCTAGCAAAAATAAACCATAAAATTAGATGTTTTATTATAATCATTCAATTTGTTTTTCAAATGTTATAAAACTTATTTTTTAATTTTTTTAATTTTACAATTTGAAATACACAATCTGTACAACATAGCACAATAAGTATATACAGGGTTGGGCAAGATACTCAAAAAGGAGTAYTGAGATACTAGATACAAGATMCTTTGCTTTGGAGTATCGCGAAACAAGATACTCGATACTTGGCTTTAGAATATTGTGATACTAGATACTCGATACATTTTAATAAAATTAGTCAATGGATTTTTATAAATTATAGGGATGGGCACTTCATTAAGTAATTAGAATGACAAATAAAAATAATAATAATAAAATAATAAAAACTTGAATTAAATCATAATAATAATAAAATAATAAAAACTTGAATTAAATCATAATAATAATAAAATAATAAAAACTTGAATTAAATCATAATAATAATAAAATAATAAAAACTGACACTTATTAGTAATAACACAAAATAAAACAAATCAACCGTGTTCATTACCTACTTTATCATGAAAGGTACCTACACTATAACGTAGTAAACTATTAGGTACACCATTATACAAAATTATGGATACCTAATAAGGTACAGATGTAAAATCCAATTCAATGTGCATGTGTTACAGTGTATATATATAAATATATAAAGTAGTAGTAGTAGTAGTAGTTACCTGTATATTAATATTGAACATTTTGTTATGTATAACTTTTTTCATTAATTATTGGAAATAATATAGAGAGGTCTGGTGGCTTATTGATGATTATACTGATTAGTTAAAACCTATTTTTGTTGTTAAAAGTAATTAATACATATGAAATAAATACTTATCAACTGTTACGAAAAAAAATCAATCTCATGATAGAAGTGATTCAACAAAACACTCAAAATATTCAATTTCAAATATTCTAAATAGCTTTAAACACTTAGGTACCTAACTTCATATTCAATATAAATACAATGCATATTATGTAATTATATTCTTTTTCAAAATAATAAAACCATTAGCAATGGAAATTTTAAAAACTCAATACYATTTTTATCAATATAAAAATACTAACAAGATATAAATAGGTATGTTACTGTGAATGACCGCAGTTGGTGAATGCTGACAGTYACCGGTTAATGTCGTCGTACACCAAAGTCATTGGTGAATGTTGACTTATTGATTAAATTTGTGGTCTTAGTAAACATTCAATAGTGAATGTCGACATTTATACAACAATATTGGTGAATGTTGGTAATGCAGTTATTATTTAATCTAATTTGGCTAGAGTTGGAGAAACTGTCCGTATTCGAGTYCCAGATGTTGATCGTAGTAAAATGGATCCCCAAAATATTTTAGCTGTAGTATTAGATATAATAGATAATGATTATTATAAATTAGCAACTAAAAACGGTGKYATAAATCGATTATAYACCAGAAACCAGTTTTCAGTCTGTAAAGAAAATTTAATATCAATCACTGATGCAAAAAGAGATCAAAACATTTCTTTAAGGGAAGTTTCTACATCAAATTC